TTCTACTTGGCCCCAGAAGGCAGAATAAAGAGCAAGGTTGCAAAGGGGGAATCTTGAATCTTGGTGTCAGAGGAAAAAGCTTCCTAATATAATAATAGGTACCCTTTATATAGTGCTTATTATGTTCTAGGCACTGTGCTATGTGCTTTACAGTGATCATCTCATTTTATCCTCACAACAACTGTGGGAGGTAGGTGATTTTATGATCCGTATTTTACAGATAAGGAAACCAGGACAAACAGAGGGGATGTGACTTGCCTAGGGACACACACCTAGTAAATGTCTGAGGCTGGATTTGAACTCAGGTCTTCCTGAGTCCAGTACTGGTGCTCTCTCTACTGCATCCCCTCACTGTTAGTGCTGACCCAAAGTACCATGGATATTTCCCTTAACTGGAGGTCTTTAGAGACAGGGCAGCTAGGTGGTACAGTGGTTGGGAATCACAAAGGTTCATCTTCTCGAGTTCAAATCTGTTCTCAGACACTTACTCACTGTGTGACTCTGTGTGACCCACATAATGAGAAGGCAGGACTTGCTGGAAAAGACCCTGACGTTAGGAAAGATTGAAGGTGAAAGGAAAAGGGGACGGCAGAGGATGAGATGGATAGATGGTGTCATGGAAGGACCACGCATGAGCTCAGTACAGACTTTGAGAGGTGATGGAGGATAGAAGGGCTTGGTGGGCTATGGTCCATGGGAATCACAAAGAATTGGGCATGACTGAACAATTGAACAACAGAAATAATTGCATCACCCTCTAGAAATCATTTTTTAAAAATCAGCAACATTTCACACACAGTGGTTTCCTAAAAATTTCACTTAAGAAAAATTAGAAGATAACACAAATGATATTATGGATTTAAAATATGAAATAAAATTGACAGTCAACCCCCCCCAAGCTTAACCCTGTTTCCTCAGTTTCCTCATCTGTAAAATGAGCTGGAGAAGGAAATGGCAAACCACCCCAGTATTTTTGCCAGGAAACCTCCCAAATGGGGTCACAAAGAAAATGACTAGACACCAAATAACAACAAAGTGGGAGTAGTCGGTTGTATGTTTTTAGGGGTGAGGATTTTTCTTCTTGGGGGGAGGCTGAACAGGATAGCCCACAGGTCCCCCCAAGTCTGACAGTCTGACATTGTGCTTATTTATGGCTTATGTGAGTTCTTGGACATAGATGCTGAGTGACTTCCTATGAAGGAGACTGTAATGCAGCGGGGGCCTAGACTGGACAGTCTCTTAAGGTCCCTTCTGGTTCCAGGATTCTGGGGTTCTTTAAGTTGTGGTTAATCTGCTTTGGTGGACTTGGCCTTGGTTGAGGTCCTGAATACTCTGGAGTGGTAAAACAACTAGACAAGATTCACTATCTTACCCAGAACTTGGAGGTCTCCTCCATAGCCTGTTGGGACTGTCTTTACTCCCAAAGACCTTCCTGGTCATATGTAGGTTCATCTTGTTGGAGATAAGGGTCTGCCTTCCTCTGGGCGGTGTCTGAACTTCTAATCTGGTCTTTCCATTTCCCTCCCCCCATCATAAATTGTTAGAGCTGCAAGTGACCTTAGAGATCAACTAATTAAAATTGAGTGAAACCCCCTCATATTACAGATGAGAAAACTGGGGACCAGAAAAGGGGGCTGATGTGCCCAAGAACACAGAGCTACTTAGTGGCTGATCTGGGAATCCAACCTAGGTCACCTGATTCCTAGTCTGGGTTTTTTTTCCCTCTTTCCTACTGCATAGCACAGGGCTTGGAGGCCCAGCTGTCTGCCAGCTATTAGAAGGGATCTGATAAACTCCCCTGCACCAAAGTGATATTGGTTTGTATCCTTCCAGGAATATTTGGGCTTTGAGCAGAGGAAAAGGGCTGACCCTGCAGGAATGGGTTACCAGTGGTAGAACTGCCCTCCTGCCCCACTGACTTGTCCCAGGGTACCTGTGCCTTGGGTGTGTGGTGTGTGTGTGTGTGTGTGTGTGTGTGTGTGTGTATGTGTCTGTGTAAGTGCATAAGGAAGGCATCCTACACTGAGTAGGCAAGTGCCTACTTTGTCTCCATGGTGAGACTGCCCTTGGGGCAGTTTCATAAAAAAGCCACCTACAGAAAGACTTTAGCCTCTTTCCAGGGCAATGCCCCTACCTCCATCAGGCAGCATTATTCTCTCCACCTACCTTTTCCCCACTTACTTCCCACCTTAGCCATCCGTAAGCCTTCCTCTTGGGCTTGGCTTAGAATTCCCCTTAGCACCTTCTGGGCTGGGAGGCCACGTCAGCCTTCTGGGGTCAGGGCTGAAGCAGAGGCTGGCTGGGTGACTGTGTGAAGTCCGAGGGAGTTGGAGTGGCATCAGACTCTCTTCCCCAACGGGGAGCTCTCTACCTCTGGGGCTGTCCCTTGGAGTCTACACAGTGAGGCCACCCTTAGGGTGCAGAGAAAGCTTGTGAGTTCCCTGATCCAGGTGAAATCAGGCTAAACCAAAACATGAGAAGCAATCTTGAAGAAAAACGATAAAGGGGACAAATGTTATTACTAAAAGGCAAAATGTAGCCTGAGGGCAGTTTGGAATCTTGAAGACCTGGATTCAAATCCTGTCTCAGACACTTAGTAGTTGTGTGACCCTAGGTGGACCTCAGCTTCCTCCTCTCTAAAATGGTGTCATTGGACTTGATGACTCCCAAGGAAGCTTTTAGCTCTTAAATCTTTGATCCTCTGATGGTTTGGCATTATGTTAGGACTGGGGGCTGGGAGGAGCAGGGTTGGGGATTTTCTGATATGAATCTCTGAAATATTTTTTTTTAAACCCATTAGTCACTTCTCAGTCACTATGTGAGTGAGTCCTCCAAAGCCTGGAGTCTGGAGCCACGGCCCCTGCTTCCCTTCCCTACCATCCCCCTCCACCCTCCATTGCCCTCTTTCTGCTGCCATCCTTGTCCTGTATGGTGTGAGGTCATGCAAGGATCACTCTGTGACTTCAAATGATGGGGCAGGGGAGGGGGAGAGACCTGGATTTAGAGTCAGGGTACCCATGACTGAATCGTGGCTTTGTTACTTGCTATCTGTGTGACTTGGGGAGTTTCTCCAGCCCCAGTCCTTAGTTTCCCTCATGGTAAAATGGAGGGGCTGGACTCAGTGGCCTTCCAACTCTAACATTCTATGACATCTCGATGCTTTCTCTCGGTGTGACCTTGCTTGGGCCTCAGTCTCCTCATGTGCAGAATGATGAGGCTGGTCTCCTTGGCCTCTAATCTGGAGCCTCCTTCCATCTCTCGCACATCCACAGCCCCACAGAGGAGGGAATGCAGTGTGGGGCAGAGAAGGAAGCTAGCTGGGCCACGGAGCTGTAGTGTCCTCTGCCTCTCTCATTGGCCAGGTGAGCGGATTGGACTGATTAGGGATCTTGGCTGTTCCTGACTGCCTTGCTTGTCTCTCTCCCTCCCACCCCCTCTTCTATATTGCTTCCATTTTGGTGCAGTGCAGACTTTTGGTTTTAACTAGCCGAATTGATATTCTGAGCAAGCCTGTGAGCAGGGATGACAGAGCTTCTCCAAGCATATGGGGGAGCTAGCTTGGCCTGCAGCTGCCTGCTCTGTCAGGGAGTCCGGCTGGCCCCAAATGCCTCCCAACTTTAAAGGAACAGAGAGGCATTTTGGCTTCTCCTGTCTTTTCCCTTTCTGCCACATTCCCTGGGAACAGGCAGGGGTCCATAGGCAGTCTGGCTCTGTGTGTGTGTGTGTGTGTGTGTGTGTGTGTGTGTGTGTGTGTGTGTGTAGGGGGGAAACACAGGGCCATTTTAGGATGAGACAGCCTGAGGCAGGCCACCTGTTTAAGAGCAAAAAGGATCAGCAAAACCAAAATCACAGAGGGTCCACTGACCTTGGAATTCCTGGCTCCCCAACTTTCTTTCCTCCTTCCTCTTAAGCCCCCTCTCCCCCCCAGTCTTCCCATTTTGAAGGGGATCTGCCCATCATGAAATAGGGGAAAAACTAGACTGTGTGTTTGGGGCTTTAAAAGCTTATTATTGTGGGTGATCGACCCCCCAAGGGTCCCAGGGATGGCTGGGAAGTAAGTCAGAGCTCAGCCTAACTCCTTACACATGTGTTTCATACCCCATACTCTACAAGTATTCAGGCAATGCAAAAGCACATGCTTTCTTGCAGTCTCAGCAAAGCCCTAGGGATCAATGACTGAAGCAGCTGAGAGCTGGTCCCTCAGAGAGGCTTCCTTTCAGTCTAAAGTCCCAGGGAATCCTAGAACCTTAGAACATGAGAGCTGACAAGGGAGAATTTAGGCCCTGTCCGCTAGGGTTCTTTTCCCTGTGTTAGGGCTCCTGGCTCTCAGGTCAGGTCTTTTTGCCCTAGGGGAAGGGGGCAGTTAAATTGTGGGCCTCCAGGGCCATGTGCCTGGTGGCTCTGGGTCCTGACTACTGCAAGCACGTCCAAGCTCCCACCATACATCTCTCCATGTATGGCCCCAGGGTCCTAGCAATGGTCCTGCCTACAGATGCCTGGGAAGAGAATGGGACTGGAGATTGTCTATGCTCAGCTCTACAGGGTCAGTAGTAACTGACCAAGTTGGTTGGGAAGAAGGTGGCATTTTGAGAAAATGACTTCCCTGGGAAAACCACCTGACTCCCCCCCCCCTTGCCCAGACCCATTAACCAGGCAAGCCTTCAGACCCCCCCCCCCCCACCTCACTGCCTCCCTTCCTTCCCCTCCGATCGAGATCGAACCTGACAGTCCTCGTCCCTGACGGTTTCTCCCACTTCTGGGTAGGTGGCATATTCCTGGGAGTTTGCCATCTTCTGTGTTTGTTGTTATCCCAAGGGACGTATTAGAGGAACAAACAACAACATGGTGGTTGATTCCCCCTCCCCCCCCCCCAATCCCCCTACCTCCTGGTGGAGAAGGCTTTTTTTGCCTTTACTACATCAGCCGTGTTTCTTTCCCCCTTGCAAGTGCCTTAAGCTGAGGGCAGAAACATCCCCCGAGATTGCATTTTGCTGGTGAGATGCTCTCATAAATATACCAGCTCCCTCCCCTACCTGCTTCATCAGGATGGTACAGTCTGCAGAGGGACTCCAGGCGGCTAGCCCAGCCTCTCACCGCCTTCCAGATGCGGTACAGTGATTATTCGGCTGGGCAACTGGAAATCCTTTTGGATGGGTGATGATTTCTTAGCCAAGTAAGTAGCGACATCCACAGCATGAGAAATAAAAATAAAAGCTTTCCCCTCTTCCCTTCCCCCACCACCTTCTCTATTTTTTTGAGGGGGGAGGGGAATGGGGTTGGCGTTTGGGGGCTTGTTTATTTGGCAGCCTGTTTCTTTCGGAATCTGGAGCCGATGTGGGGAATAGTGTGTGGTGTGTGTGTGTGTGTGTGTGTGTGTGTGTGTGTGTGTGTGTGTGTGTAAGGGTGGCAGTGGCTTAATCTGACGGAGGCATTAGGTCTGGGACCTGGGAATCTCTGGGAAGGCAGTACACATTTACATGGTGTTACGCAAGGGTATAGCAGAAGGGCAAGGTTCTCTCCAAAATAAATAGCACTTGGGGTGAGGTTGAAAATTACCCGGGGGTTGCAGGGCTGTGGATTTTTGGTAAAAGTCACAGTGGTACAGGTTTAACCCCCCCCCCCCGGCCCCGAAACCAGTTATTTCTAAGGAGGGAACCCAGCACAGGTGAGCTTTGCTCGGAATTGGGGGATACTGGAACTGTGACTAGCTGCCTCTTTTTTTTTTTTTGCAGGGGGTGGGGAGTGTTGGTGGTTGTATCATGCACAGGGTGTCCAAGAAGACCTCAAGACGGATAGTGTGGGGCTCTTCCCCGGCAACTTTCCTAGGGTGCTGTGAACAGTGCCGGGTGTCACTGGAGAAGGGATCGGCACCTGTGGGGGGTTGGTGGCAGTGGCAGCGGTGGGGTTAATGTGCTTGGAAAGGGACCACTTTGCACCATTTATGTTTCAGGGTGTAGTTAGAGAGTGAGCCTGGGTCTGCGTTAAAATTGGCTGCCTTTATGAGGATACTGGCTCCTAGTTATGTCTTTGGAGAAGCTTGATGCTCGCACAGATGGAGGGGACTCATGGGCCACTCTGCTGAGTTCTCTCCAGCTTCTTGTGAATTGCTTGCAGTGCCTCCCCCTCCCCTGGCTGCTCCAAGTCTCTCACAAATGAACATGTAGGGGCAGCTTCAGAAATCCAAGCAGAGGCTTCTGCATCTGCTTCCCTATCACCCCGGGTCATCAATTTCAAACTCCAAGCAGGGCTGTCACCAGGCACCAAGGAGGAGCCTGCTGGCTTCCCCCTGCTTGTTACGTAAAAGACCCAGCAGTCTCTTCATCCACTTGGGAGCCGGGGACTTCTTGGTTTGATGTGGATGGTGCTTCAGCTCTGAGTCTGGGTCTGGGTCTGTCCCCTGTGATCTCACTTACCTGCTATCACTTCCCCACCCCGGCCCAGCCCCCCTTCCCCCCTCCCACAAGCTGCGGGATTTTCTCTGCTGTTGCCTGTTACTTCCTCTGACTTAATGAAATGGGAACTTTGGGCCATCTCAGGAGCTTGGAAGAGTCAGGAGTGAATGCCTAGTCTGCTGCCTGGAAGGTAAGTCTTGGGCTTGCTGAGCCAAAGGAAGGGGTCTTGCCTTGGGGCAATGGGCTCCGGGGCTGATCTATGGAGCTCCTCTTAACTATGTGCATGCTGGGCTGTTTACTGAGTAAATTCATGAAGAAGGGGAAGAGCTGATGTTTAGGCTTTTTTAGGGGAAATGTGTAGGTACTCTACAAAGGGGAAATTTTCCTTTGGCCTGGGAAGTTGGAGGGGCTCTGGAGCTCTGGCCTCAGGGAACCTTGGCATTTGAACTCAGTGATGAGAAGAGTTAATGTTGCAAAGGGCCTGCCTCTGCAGATGGAGGAGGGATGTGCTTGTGAGGTGGAAGAAGTGCTAGTGTCTGGAGCCCCTCTGGATGCCCACACGGACAGACATACATTAGGGCATCCATGTCTACATACCTATACATAAATGCACAAAGCCCACTAGACCTACATTCCTGTAGATGTGTGCATGCTAACCTTGTAATTACACACACAGGCACACATGAGCCTATACGTGCTCTCATGAGGGCTTGCACCCCCCTCTCACACATATGAACACAGATGCACAAATGTCCCTTTCACCTTGGCTCTCCTCAATTCTCTGCATTATGTCAGTGAACATTTCAGACTCTCGGGGAGCAAGAAGAGGTCTTATGGTTCAAGCTGGTTGAAACCCATCCTCATAGGCTTGCCTTGAGCATGAGGGCACTGGAGATGTTATGCCCAGTGAGCTAACTGTTATACATGGATGATGGGGAGGGTGTGGTGCACCTGCATTCTTGGGGAGGGTCAATTTTTGACTTGGCCCCGGGGGTTTTCTATCTACTGAGATTCTGTGGGAAAGAGCCTTTGGTTCTTTTCTCTCTGTACAAGGATAGCCAGCCAGTGTCCATGCCTCGTGCATTTTTTCCCCTCATTTGCCTTGCCTGAGGGCATGGACAGTCTCCAGAGCCTGGTTAGTGTAGCACCTGGCAAGGCTCAGACCAGGTCCCCCCCGGGCTGTCCTGAACCTTGCTGGTTCCAGAGGTTCACGGAAAATGTTCTACTTCTGTGGAGCACCTGGGAAACTGGCTCCCTGGAGACACCTGCTTGCTCAGGATTGTCCCTAGGCTAAGGTTACCATTAGCCTGCCCAGAATTTTACTTGCCTTTCCTATCGATTACTTGTAAGGATGTGGATACTTCTCAGAATTTAGGGATCTTTCCCCATTACTTCCCCCTCTTTTCCTCACCCTGATCTTTTTTCTTTTCCTTTCCTTTCCAACTCCACTCTCCCCTTCCTTTCATCTGCTCCTCTTTTCTTGTCCCTCTCAGGGACCTGCAGAAGGTGACAGATGTGGAATTTGCCATAGGCTAGATCTCCAGATGTTCCAGGTGTAAGTGGGGGTGAATTGGTACCACTGAGAGGGGGAAAGCCTACACAGTCTGGCCTGGCCACAGGCTAGGGAATCCCCACTCTGTTGAGGATGGTGCTTTCCAATTTTAATGGGAAATACATTTGAGAGAAACATGACTTCGTAATTTCAGGCTTTATTTCTGTTCTTCTCTTCTTCAGCTGGGGCCCCAATCTCCTCTAGCTCCTTGGAGTGGGAAAGCTTGATATATTCCTTTGGCATCCAGTGGAGAACATCTATCAGATTGTCTCTAGGGGACCCAGGGAGTCGAGGAGGCAGAGCTCTGACTTCTGCCCAGGTTGCATTTTAGCAGATTTGTTTTGGTGAGGCAATTGGGGTTAAGTGACTTGCCCAGAGTCACACAGCTAGTGAGTGTCATGTGTCTGTTTAGCAGATATTTTCAAGAAGCGTATGGGCTTTTGGCATCACTAACTCACAGGATATCAGAGCAAGAAGAGACCTGAAAGAGAATTGGTCCAACCCAACCCCACGGGGAAATTGAAGCCCAGAGAGATGACTTTACCTGAGATCCTCCTGCAGTTAATTAGTGGCAGACAGCTACAGCTTAGAACCCAGGCCCTCTGCTTCTGAGTACTTTTTCTCCTATGATGTCCTGCATGGGAAGGAACAAGAAACAAAGAAAACACATTTCTAGAATCAGAGTACTTAGAGCTGGAAAGAGTCATCTAGTCCGACTGCACATTTTACAGATGAGGAAACTGAGGGCCATGAAGGTCACATGACTTACTCAAGGTCATGCAGCATTAGAGTTAGGATTCAAACCCAAGTCCCTCAACTTCAAGTACAATGCTCCTCCATGACTTTATGTAGATTATTTGTTTCTCAACTCAACTCAACTCAACATGGTGGAGTCAGATAGATTCTCTGTTCAGTTTCCAGACTATCAAAGGAGGGGAGTCAAGCATCCTTACATAGAAGCAAAGTAAGTGACCAGTGAGATAATATAACCAAAAAGGCCCATGGTCAAAAAGATCATTCCCCAGGCCTGAAATTCTCTTTATGTCTTCTATTGAAAGAAGCGATGTGGTCTATTGGATAGAGTGCTGAATGTGGAGTCAGGAAGCGCTGGGTTCAAATCTTTCCTCAGTCAGCATTACTGTCAGTGTCCTTTCATGTAAGTCACTTAACCTCTGCTCCTCTGCTGGAAAATGGAGCCAGTGATAGCACCTTTCACACAGAGCAGTTGGGAGAAGAAAATAAAAGAAAGCACTTTGTACACCGTGAAGTCCTATGCAACATAATAGAGATTACTTTATTCCCTTTTTCACAAGCTTTGATCCTGTGGAAAGTGTGAATAACTTTCAAGGGTTGGTGAGAATTGGGGGATGGGGATGGGAGTTGGGGTGGGGAGGGTTGCCACATGCTAAGTGAATCGTCAGTCATTTTATACCTCAGGTAGGAATAGGCTCAAGAGAGAAGACTGAAAGAAAGGGAAGGAGGAAAGAGTAGAAAGTCTCTGGGCACCTGGAATAGGAGCAGCCACTTGTGAGTGTGGAAAAGAGAGCTGGATTTGGACTCAGAGCAAATGGGTCCCAGCCTTGACTCTGCTACTATCTATCAGCACTAAAACTGTGGCCAAGTCATTAGCCATTTTGGCCCTAGCTCCTCATCCATAAAAGGAGGGGAGGGGATCAGACTAGATGCTTTTCAAGGGTTCTTCTAGCTTAAAATCTCTGAAACTATGAGGGTGGGGCACCGCCTTCCTCCCTTCCTTCTTTCCTTCTTGCCTGCCTGCCTGCCTGCCTGCCTTCCTTCCTTCCTTCCTTCCTTCCTTCCTTCCTTCCTTCCTTCCTTCCTGCCTTCCTTCCTTCTCTTCCTCCTTCCCACTCTCTCTCTCTCTCTCTCTCTCTCTCTCTCTCTGCTTCTCTTTCTTTCTCTTTTTTGAATACTTTTCAGAGTTGGAAGTGATCTAAGAAATCAGTTCAACTCAATTCCCTTCCCCTCTCCTCATCTTACAAGTGGGGAAACTGAGGCCAGACAGAAGTGGCTTGCTAAGCACCACAGAGCTCATTAGTGTCAGAGTCTGGAATAGTACCCATGCTTCCTGATTCTCAGGCTAACAGCAGTTTCCTAGTCAGCACACCCTGTATTTCTTGGGGTAAAAGTGATGAAACTAATCCCTTCATGTGAGTTTTGTCTGCTTACTGACACTGAGGAAGGGCAGGGGAATCCTTTGTCCTCGGACAAGAGTTGGGAGTTCCAAGGGGCAGCATCTCTACCTAGGTTTGATTTTGGAGTCAGCGCTGAGTTTGATGGGTAGCTCGGTGGCACAAGAAGACCTGAGTTTGTTTCCTGTCTCAGACACTAGCTTTGTGATCCTGAGCAAGTCATTTAACCTTTCTTTGCCTCAACTTCCTCATCTGTAAAATGAAGATAATAATAGCAACCTAACTTCCAGAGTTTTTGTGAAGATCAAGTGAGGTAATATTGATATAGTATTTTGCAAACCTCAAAGTGCTATGTGATTGGGAGCTATTCTTATGAGTCAGTCATGACCAGGATGGAGGTTGGACTAGACATGTGCTTTGCTAGGTGGCCCTAGGCCTGGGAGCTTCAGAGGTGTGTGGAGCAGCCTGTAGGAAAGGGGGTGGCCAGGGACGTCAAGAGGGCAGCCCTCGGGCCACGTGGCGGGCTCTGCTCCACTCGGTCTGCAGGCAGTCCAATGTGAATCCAGCAGGCACATTCCTTGGAGAGTGGGAATAACTGGGGCCCCTCCTCCGTGGGTTTCTGCAGTTCACGTGTCTATGGCTCCCAGCTCCCTTCTCAGGGAATTTGACTGGAAATAGACAGTAATGTGGGTGTTTAGAGAGAGCCTCTGTGCTCTCGTTCTGATCCCGTTCTTCATCTCATTCCCACCGCTCTCTTCATATCCCATTTAGCGCTGGTTGCCATAGCTATTGAAGCTCAGATTGATTAATATAGCCTTATCCTCAGAGCTACAAATGGAAAAAAAGAAAAAATAAACCCTGCAACAACAATAAAATTTAGTGACAACTTTTGAGAGAGAGAGAGAGAGCAGGGGAGGAGAGTGCCGGTGGGTGGCGCATCTTGCTGTAGCCAGGTAAGCAGGGTGGAGAACCTTGTGTGTTCTGCTATGTGACCTTGGTTGGGGCAGCTGCTACCCCAGAGGTAAGTGCTGGGCTCTGTGCCCTGGCTTGGATTCCTGATGAAGCTGCTGTTTGCTGAATAAGAAGGGGTCCTGAGCTACCCAAGCTGCTCCGACTCTGTTGGAGTCTGGCTCTGCTGGTGCAGGGCCAGACTGTGGGATGAATCATAGCATCATAGATTTAGTGCTAGAAGAGATCTGAGAAGCTGTTGACTCTGACCCCCTTAATTTATATGTGAAAGAAGTGAGGTTAAGTCACTTGCCTGGGGCTATCCAACTAATAAGTATCTGAGGTGGAATCTGAACCCAGCTCTTCCTGACTCCAAGGTCAGTGCCCTACCCACTGGGCCATGTTGTCTCACATGGCTCAGCCACTGGGTACTTTTTAGCTGGTCTCACTTTCACATCCCAGTGATGACTCCAGAATCTTAGTGCCTTTGGGTAACTGGGCCAGGTACTGATCACTGAGTGATCTTCTGGAAGCCCCTAG